CATTAAGACTGAGCAACACTGCTCTAACCTGTGGGATACACAAGACCTTGGCTTTTCGATAGCAGCATTCCTCAAGAAAGGTGAAGTTGACTACTTCCTTATTTAACTTAGATGACCGGTTACTGTTTCATATTTTCATACTGCTCTTGGTTTTTCGTTTATAGTTTATAATTCTGTATATCCTGCTTTTACTATATATTTTAATTATATTTTTTAAAAAATCTATGTCGCTATGAAGACCAGGGAACAAAGAAATAACCAGATAACAGGCATGCTCAATGTTCCCATGACCACAAAAAATGTACACATATGCTATAGAAGAGAATATGTGTAGTTCAGGGTTGAACTGTGGGGTCCTTGGGGTTCGCTGAGCTTGGTTGTTTTCTTGCAAACGTTTCGTTGCCCGGCTAGGCCGCATCTTCAGTGCAGTGTATACATATGCTTCAGATAGTTTGGGCATTTTTTCCATTTTTAAGATCTGCCCCAGCTGCTGTCTCCTTCTGGACGCAACTGGTTTTAGTCTCTACAGCTCTAAAGAGCGTAGGAGCTGCATACTTCAAAATGAATTTGTTCCAAGTACTAAGCCGTCCAGAGGAAGCCTTGTTGAAAGATGCTATGCTTATTAAAAGATCCTATGGTAAATAAACAGAGAGCAAACCCCACTCCATTCTAGCACTGAAGAGGTTACCTAGCCAGATAACGAAACATTTGCAAGAAAACAACCCAGCTCAGAGAACCCCACGGACCCCACAGTTCACCTCTGAGCTACATCTTCTGTTGAGATGCTCCTGATTTCACAGGCTTGTGGACAAGGGTTTTCAGATGCACATACTTCCCTGGAATTATGGTCTGCCCCACATTCTCCACCCTTGTAACAAAGACTCAAGACCCAGCTACAACCTGGCCTTCTCCATTGGTGACCTCTGTTTCCAGTGTAATTGTTCAAACTGAATTTTAATTTGTCTTCTTATTTTGTATTTGAGTGTTTGTTGGAAGGCTTGAGCACATGGGGGGGGGGGAGAGAGTGACATGGAAAGACGTAGCATAAATTGAATGAATGCTTCAGTATAATACATGTATGAATCAAATAGTTCATAGAATTATCATAAGGTGATTCTGATCTCGGCACTACCATACTTGATCAGTGTCTTTGGGTTCATGACGCATTCACAACTTCTCTTTCCTTACCTGAAATCTATTGTGGTGAGCCACAAAAAGTTGCTGTTGCTGGGTCTTCCCTTGCTGCTTTCTCATTTTCCCTGGTTCTATAAACAATATTTTCTGTTGCCAGAAGGCCTGATTCATGTCTCAAAGGGGACTGTGCTTCCCTTTTGGCAGGCCTGTTGCCAAAGAAGCTACAGAAAAACTGTGGTTTGTGGGCTCTCCTTCCTTCCTGATGTTGTACACCAACATACATACAAAAGAGTGGGTTTTCACTGTGACGCTACTCCTGCCATGTGACAGATTTTGACACATATTCCATGTTTACTGCTGGATGACAGCCACACTTAACCTTTGGGTGGGACTGGGACCAAAGCGAAATTTGTTTTCATTTAAATCAAACATACACATAGCTTCCTTAAATACACTTAAAATGGTTACTCTTCAACTTTTTAATTGTTTTCCTGCTTGGATTAGACCTTACAACCAGCGGTAACTGTGGGAAGGGCTCTGCAGGTAGGGGGGTGGATGGAGTGGAGGTAAGACTGTGCATTCCTGAACTGGATTTTGTGTGGGGAGAGGAAGAAAGCCATACTCCCCAGCACGCACATACTTTCCAACACCTTTTTCTCTTTCAACAAAGATGCTCTTACTTGGACCGTCTCAATGAAGACAGAAAAGGAGTTCCCCGCGCAATCTCCAGCAAACAAGTAATGGCAGATTCCACCGAAGGTGAAGTGTTTGTTGTCAAAGCTTTTGAAATGGGACTGGCCGGTGACGGAGCATTCGCCTGGGAAAGGAAACGCAAAGGCTTACTTCCAACTGAACTGCACAACACGATTTTGCATTAAACTGAATTCTCTGACTAAAATAAACTTGTTCTCGATTTCTAATATTTGGGCTGTTGATTTGTCTGTGGTTACAAACTAAAGCTGTATTGGATTTCAGTGACACTGTCAGAAAACTCTCTGGCCAAGGTTTTTTTTCTCACCTCAAATTGGTTCACAAAAAGCATCTATTTCCTTATACGTTGATGATATGGTACCACAATCACCTTCCTCAACAGGCCACAACTGACTAGCATGAAAACTTGGCAAATATTGTACAGAAGAACTATTAGAGATCGACTGAAATAATAGCGGCTTTTGCTGGAGAGATATTTAAGGTTCCTGAGTTTATAGGTAATAAGACAGTTGTTCAGTGTCAGAAATTTTAAATATTTGGAAGCTTATTTTAATGGTACACAGTCTTGGAAGGCACACAGTGGTTTCCGTTACCAAACTATTGATGATATATTGAATTTTCATTTGTCAAAAGGTGTGTTCTTAATTGATCCTACCGATTTTCTTGTTAAGAGTCTGGCCAAGGTTGTGTGGGACATCTCCCACATTGCAAAACTGGAAACCTTACACACAAACACACACATGCGCACGCACATATTTTGATGAAGTTTAGTGCTGTCCAGCTCCTCCACTGCCCTTGCTCTGAGCCAAGGCTAAACTTCCCCTTGTCAAAGTCCACCTACCTCTAGCCATATTCAGGTGGATCAATAAATTGAAAGGGTTCTCAGAGACACTTAGGAAACTATTTCAAAGCTGCGAGAAATGACCTTTCGCTATCACAGGTTGTTTCATCTTTATTTTAGTCCAGGAGAGCCTTTGGCTATCTTTCAAATAGGTCTGAATTCTTCTGGGGTGGTTTTTAATCAGTGTGCTTTCTTTGCTCAGTCTGACCATTCCCACTTCAAGGTTTCTTAGGTGGTATTGAGAAATGTGTCTGAGCCAGGAGGTTAAGGAAACTTTGCCGGCTAATGTTGTTTTACCATATGTTGGAACTGTTTGTGACCTCAGACATTTATTATTTGGATTGTTTTAGTTGTTGTTTTAACTTTGTATGCTGCCCAGAATCACCGTCATGAGATGGGTAGCCATATAAATTGTACAAATAAATAAATCATCTTTGGTGCAATGATTTTTTTCTGAAAAGTTCCCCAAATTCTCACAGGTGTCTGTTTGCAGACAGCGCCACACTCAGTGCTTGGCGGCATACAGTTATTATACATCAAAGTCTCTAATTCCCAAATTAGATCTTCTACATTATTTGTTTTTCATCTTTCACATAGGAAACTGCCCTAGAAGTTCCTCCAGATATTCTGACTACATTCAATATCAATGTCAAGAAAGTTTTGCTATGCAGTGATTGATATTAATATGTCACCAACCTACCTTTTTCCCTTCCTTATCTCAAAGATTTGAGCAAAAATTATTTAGCAGTAGGTTAAGACAGTGAAGTGACCATTTACCGAAGGGTTAATAGTTCATTATTCCCCGAAATCCATTAAGATGAAACAATAATACGATAAAAATAACTTTGTTAAGGTTTATGGCAAAACAGAAGGGTAATAATCTGAGAAAGAGAACACATCTCCACTATGACATCTCATCTTATCGAATCATAGCTATGGATTTAAAGTCACTGTTGCTGTTCACACGGGCTTGTGATGATTAGATCTAACAAGTTTGCTTCATGAATAGCATAACCAAAAAGATGCCCCCAAAACACCCTGGTAATGCTCAGCAATTTGCTGGGTTTCTTGAACAGCTTCAGGGGACTCATCCATGAATACTGTTTCTGGAAAAAGGGGAGCCTGAAAATCTAAGACGTTGAGTGTTCCTAAGTGACGTGTGTTTCAGACCAGCGCATTGCCCCCGTAAGGATGGATGGCCAGGCAGGGCTCTCAGGAGCATTCAGCCTTTCACTGAATCTTCAGCTTTTGCTTCAAAAGCAACCATTAATTTGGCCACAAACAAATGTGCCAGACCAGATGGGGGGGGGGGAGAAAGGAGTGCCCACTTTCTCATTCAGTTGGCCGAGCTTTCTCTTCCAGCTTCTCTTCATCTGCTTGCTGACAGCACCTCTGGTTCTCTGCAGCGAAGCCCTTTTAAATACTGTAAACAAACTGGGAAAATTCTCACACATCTGCAAAACAAAATCCTCTGTGGTTTTCTTGGGTGTGTGGGGTGTGTGTGTGTGTGTATGACTTTGCTTGAGTTCACTCTGCCACAATTCCTCTGGGGCAGCAACTCCAAATTTGCTGCCAGTTGTGAAAGGAATATTGCACATCCCTGGGCTGAACGGAAGTGAGCACAGACCTCTTGCAAGGAAGAGAAGATGTTAGTTCATCTCTACTTTGAGGTTGCTATCCAGCCAGGAAGCTATGCTGGTAGTAGTTCTAGGCTAATGTGTTAATGCCAGTCAATCACTGGGAACACATCACTCATCCAGGATTTGATTTTGGATTTAACAAAAGGTTTCCTGCCCAGACTTTATGTTTGAGAGAATGTTTGAGGAGAGGAAGGTAACGCATTCCTGTTCTACCTCGTTGACGAGATGCTTCATTCCCAGCTCTGCAGTGTCAGTACTGCAGGATGGTGTAGAAATTCTGTTGAGGTTCTGGGCACAGTTGGGTAGTTGGGGATTTCTACGGCAAGTGGGACATTTTCCAGTTTGTATCTAGCTGCACGTATACAACGGAAGCAGCACCTCAGTTTGGCCCTTCTGGCCTCATGGAAGATTGAAGAATTGGACGCGACTTTTGCATATGGATCCCCCAGTTACTCCTCCAGTCAGATCACCCCCAGCTCACCCTTCCGGGAGTCAGAAGACAAAACTCAGATTCAGCCAAATCTCTGCTTTGCTCTGGGGCAAACCATGGGAACGAGATCTATTGGTTGTTTCTCCTGCTGATTGTTTCCTGATTTCTCCTTTCTTTCCAGCATCATCAGTTTGGATAAAGAAATCTTCAATATTTGTTTGTTTGTTTAATAGATGTATATCCTGCCTTTTGTAGAGGAGCTCAAGGCAGCGTGCATAGCGCTCTCTCATCTTACTTTTCTCCACAGCAACAACCCTGCGAAGTAGGCTGGTCTGAGGAAGAGTGACTGGCCCAAAGTCAACCCGTGATTTTCTGTGGCTGAGGATGGACTAGAACCTGGGCCTCCCTGCTCCTAGCCCCACGCCTGAACCATTATGCCACATTCATTCTTAATCATACCAATGGACCAGATGCATCTCGACCAGGCTTTCAACCAAGATATAGATCCAAAATACAGATACAGTTTCCTTTCATGATTGACCCTATTGGACATTTCCGTGGCACTGGGAGAACCTTATCACAGTGGTTTCCATCCTTTTCAACATGCCACCATGATTATAAAGTATCGTTTAACACCATCTTCAGTCTATTTCATTTAACGTCTTCTTATCAGGGGGTTGTAAAGCCGCCATCAATATTTTTTTAAAAATCCAATATTACCCCAATATTTAAGGACCTGCCAGGCTTACCAATTGTTTACTGCACTCAGCTGGAAATGTGATTTTTAGTTTTTAAACTTCTAAATGTTTAGAAGTTTGTCTTCTGGCTGTCAGAAGTCTATTTCGCTATGACCCTGATCAGTTCTTAAGTCCTAGAGAAGTGACTTTTTGAGGACGCCACTTGCAAGGTCCATTTCTCAGACTGTATTCGGTAAAAGACTGGCCTCTGCTTTCTTGTTTTTAAAAGAAAACATAGGAGATTTTCTGTATTTTGGCCTTTCACTTTCTTCAGTAGTTTTACTGATGTTCCTATGGTTTTTATTGCTAAGGTAACAGCCCTGCAGTGGCTGTTTCGCGTGATTGGCCAAGGAATGCCATCCATAGTCCATGGAGCCCTTGCTGGACAAGTAGCTGCTTCTTGTCTTACTGAGCCAAGCATCCCTCGAAATGAGTCTTCCTTTGCTCAGCCCCCTGCCCCCTTGAAGGAACTCTTCAAAGTCCAATCCAGGGACCTCAGGAAAAGGCCCTCTGACCTTTTTTCACAAGAGCTTCTGCACCCTCTTGCTGACCTCCACGTTCTTCCCTTCCCTGCGTGGCAGGGCCCTGCTGTGCCCCTTCAGATGCAGGTTCTCCTGCCCCTGGTTTGCCCTTCAACGTCATTTGCTCCAGCCACCCTCCTTCCCCCCAGCCCCACTCTTTCCGAAGGCTACCCCCCTTGTTTGCTGCCTTAGGCGCTCCTACTGCAACGGAAGAAGAATTCGCATTGCCGTCCCTGCTCCCTCCAGACCCTCAACCCCCAACAAAAATGGCTGAGAAATGAGCCGGGACAAGTCCTGGGCTGGGATGCGGAATAAGTGCTGGGGAAGAAAACTAAAGTGAGCCACAAAGAGGAGAATAGATAAGCCCTCCTGACTGTGAAAAGGGGGAAAAATAAAACAGGATTCTCAATACATAGCTTTAGAAAGACCAGAGAAAGTGAGACTTTTAACAAGATGTAATGGAAAGCTATAACTGAAATAAATATTCACTCACTGTGTGTTCCAGAACCAACGTACCTGGGCACGGCTCGTTGCTGCAGACCCACACGCCATGCCTGCAAATACTAGGAAATAAAACGTTTCTCTATTAGGAACAGGGATAAAATGAATCATGCTCATTATTATAAATCTTAATAGTATTTGCAGGTAGGTCTCGATTAGCGCAGTTCATGAATCCCACGGAATGGCCGCAGTATTTGAATTCATACTATTTGAAGTGATATTTCTATGCAAAATAGGGTAATTGGTTCCAGCTTGACAGAAATAGGCAATGAAAATTTTTAAATATAAATGTTAATGCGTTTTATTAATGAAGTACCGTGTAACAGTAAAGAGGATAAGCCCATATCCAAAGTTTACCTGCCACCTCCTGCATTCTGCTGCAGTTCTTCAAAACGAGCCTCTGTTTTGAGCGTTCCTTGAAGGGCCCCTTCCTTTTCTCCATTTTGCACAATTGGCAGTTAGTGTCTAAAACCCCAATGGCAACAGCGCGTGCGCTCGCCTCGCCCTAACTGAATTTTGGCTTGCATTAATCGCGGCCTGGTGTCAATTTATAAATCGCACTAAATCAAACTTTGCACTGTTCAGACTTGCACTAATCGCGACCTTCCTGGGAGCTAAGAACACGGGAGAAAGTACCACACAGGAAAACTGTGCCGGAATTTGGTCTTTATTTATTGAGGCTGGGATGCCACGCCGCTCGACGGTACCGCCAAGAGGTCCTGGTGGCCGCTGACTTTTATTCTGCAGCAGTTCTCGCAAGAGAAAGGGAGCAATTCGTCGTGGAAACCCCCGTCCGGGAAAGCATCGGGTGCTTCTCCCGCTCCTCCGGCTCAGATCCAGATTTCTCCACTTTGTTTTTGTGGATGAAAAAACCTTGAGAAATCCAATCACTGATCTCCCACGAGACGTGGAGGTGAGTTTTGGCCGTGGGGTCTCAGGGTATTGCTGCAGTACTGCAATACAATAAACCTTCCGCGGGCCTTTACTTTTTGGTGCTTTGGTTTCACGGATCGAAGGGCGATTGGGCTTGGGCCCGGGCTCCCTTCCTCTAGGAGGACTGTTGACATGCTTCACCCCTCCTGATTCCTGCCAGCTGCTCTCAGTTTGGCACTGGTCCCACTGGCTGCCCCAGGGCCGGGGGGCAAGGGTGCGCTGGCTTGCACAGAGCAGTGGGTTGGGTGAAGTCCTCTCCAAAGCTGGACAGGGCCGCGAAAATGAAATTAAACATTGAACACGTTTAATTAACAACTTCTGCCTGTTATTTTTTTGCACCGCACTGCATTACATCCATTTAATGAATTACCCTTTATTTGTCTGGATTGCCCTGACTGTAGTCATCTGCATTTCATTGCAGCGCCCATTAAACAATCAGGGAAGAAACAATCTCCTAATCAAGGAGCCATCACGGAAGAAACCCCACCCCAGCCAAGGCTCCCAGACTGGCAGGGCAAGCGACGATGCAGAGACAGCCAGTGACCTCCCCACTCCCCTGCCCGGGTGGTGCCGCCTAGCCTGCAATGAAACCCCTGCAGGAAAACGACCGGGCTCAGAGAACGCCAGGATCCCAACAGACAAGGAAGTCCTGCCCTCCCAGGCATCTCACGTCACCTGCTCGGCACCCCTTGTCCCCGAGGCCCTGGCAACCCCCCACCGTTCTCACTTCGGCCAGCCTGAAAATGCAAGCAGGCAGAGAGAGAGCCAGTCATTGCCCCGCCTTTCCCCCAGCTGGCCAGTCAGACGGTCCGGAAACTCTCACCCAGCCCGCCTCCTCTTCTCACACCTCTTGCCAGTTCCACGGTGAAAAGAAATGCCCTCACCCACAGCCCGCACCCAAGGGAAACAGGCTAAGTTGCTAGAAACAAAGGCGTCAGGCCCGAGCCACAGTGACGTCATGGGTGTCTCGGTGTCATTTGCAAAGGGCGTGAATTAGGCAATCGGCATGGTGACATCCTGGCACAGGGATGTCACTGCCATTTGTACAGGGCAGCTATGTGTGTTTCTGTTGTAGGAAGAAAAAGAGGCGAATTTCGCCCACTTTCATAGCCAGCTAGATACACGAATGGAGGGACAGTCCTCATCTCGCAGCTCTGAGGCGGCTGCGCTCTGGCTCCAAAGCGAGGTGCCGAAAATGCCGGTTGTGAAGAGCAGGCGTCAAGGGCTGTCGCTCTCCTGTCCCTGAGTGTGAGCTTCCCGGGCGCACCCTGGGGCACCGCCCTGCCCAGAGCACTGAAGCGGAAGGGCCCTGACTTGGCCCAGCCTTATGGTTTAGGGTCTTCTTCACATTTCATCCAAGGGTCCTACTTACCACGAGTTGCAGTCTTGATAAACCGAAGAGCCGGGAGGGAATTTCTTGCCAGAATTTATGCAGGAGCAGTTTGGGGCATCAACACAAACGTCACCATCTAGGAGCTTCCCGTCTGAAGACAGACAGACAGACAGACAGACAGACAGACAGAGGCTTCAGCCCTGCAGACTAGCCCCATTTTGCAAAGCCAGCCCAACCCTAAGTCCGGAGGTGACTCTCATGGATGTGCCTGGGTCATTCAAGGCATGAGCGCCTTCCCACCGCCCCACCACGTTTTCGGACATAAAGCCACAGCATAAAGCATGGAAAGTAACCTTCAGATTTTTGGAGCACAAAATTCTTTGCTGACATGCAAATGACTTGCCTGCCCATATGCTGGCTCACCTTGCGTGTACAAGGACAGGACAGGGCATTAATTCTAGCGCACACCTTCCGTTCACCCAAGGAAACGGGATGCTCGGTTAGTGCCCCGTATCAACAAAGTGCCTCGGAGCCAACGCCTCCTAAAATACCGCGGGACGCACTCAGTGCCTATGGCCACCATGTGAGTTCTTCCCACCCAGCAGAGGCGTCCACGTGACACGGGTCCCCCGCACCGCTGAAAGCCGCCCCCTTGCAGTCAGTCCCGACCCCCTCTAGAAGAAGCAGAGCATCTGCCCGAAGAAAAGGGCACCAAGTCTCACCCCGCCTGGCTCCCGCAGGGCGCGTCTTCTTTCCTTTCGCCCCTGAACAGTGAAGGCCCTCAGAAGTAATTCTGAGGCGAGGCAGGAACTTGCGCACCCCCAGTTAATGCTGGAAAGTGCATAATCCCTTTTTTCTTTTTATTAAATACAGTGGTACCTCGGGATACGAACGCCTCTACTAACGAACATTTCAGGTTACAACCAGCTTCGGCAGGAAAATTTTACCTCGGGTTATGAACTTGCCTCTACTTACG